GGTTAAAACGGTCTGTCTTCGGATAGGTTGACACACTCCTTTATTTGTTAATTTTTGTGGTTGTAATTGTATATATGTGCATGTGCTGTTCTAATTTCGATTTCATTTTGTTGTGAAACCTTTTTTTTCAGGTTTTTACACTGTGTGTGGCTACAAATGATATTCTGGATGCTTAAAACAGAGCAAAAGAGATTCTGGTGCTTTAGATTAAGCTACCTCTATCAACATAGTGCCATAAGTCGTCACAGAAAGTTGAAATCTTGAAAATTAAAGGCAACTTTTGTCATTTTTTGTGGCAACTTTTGAACACAAAAAAGGCAACAGACGCAGATGCTAGACAAACAAAACAAAACAGACGTATGGGAGTGATAGTGATTTTAACAAGCTCCTACGGTGCAAATCCATGAGACTCAGTGACTGAAGTGTCTTTAGGCCATTCCCAAAGGTGGAACATTTCTCGTTCATGCACGGTAAAGTTGTAAATGGGCTGACTCATGTCACGCTCATAACTGTGCCTGATCTACAACAGGGAACTGCTGCTTTTTCTTTCCTAATCCTTACTATTATCATTTTCCTCTCTTTTGTATGTTTTTCACACTCTTGTGACCTGCTATTTCCGGGGTGCCTTGATAGTCGAAGCAGACGTTGTGCTGTTGAAAGTAGAGAGGTGAGCAGAATAAGTCTGATTCCCTGTAAGGACTTCTTTGTTGACATCCACTCCTTGGCGCTCATGACCTTAGGCAGTTGCGAGCGCCGTAAAACCTCTACTAAAACATAAAAATCCCTGAGACTGAGACTTGAAGGACTGTGATGGTGAATTGGAAACATTTATAAAGGAGAGGCAGCGGTGGGGGGTCTGGTTTAGTTCTCGTCTCTCTCCTCTGTACGGTACCTTGACAGTGGACAATCTGCCTTTGAAATAAGAGTCATGATCCAGTAAAGTAGTAAAGCTATAAATTTTAACAAAAACTGAAACAAGTACGTTGTCAAAATACTTTATTAATTAAATGAACACAAGTGTAAAATGTTGCTACATCTTCCTCATTAAAATAAGTTAAACAACAAGATGTGACATTTTATCTCTTTCACACACATGCTACTTTTTAGACAGCTCACCTCTCTAGCTTCAACAGCACAAGGTCTGCTTCGACTATCAAGGCACCCTGGAAATAGCAGGTCACAAGAGAGTGACAAACATACAAAAGAAGTAGAGGAAATGACAATAGTAAGGATTAGGAAAGAAAAAGCAGCAGTTCCCTGTTGTAGATCAGGTACAGTAGTTATGAGCGTGACATGAGTCAGCCCATTTACAATTCTATTGTGCTTGAACGAGAAATGTCCCCCCCTTTGGGAATGGCCTAAAGACACTTCAATCAGTGGCACTGCCCCGGGGGAGGGGGGGGGGGTATTCTCTCCCTCTGCCGTTCTTGCCTTGCTTTTGTACAGCACTACATGGCCATAGAACAAATAAATATTTACGCTAAGAAGAAATCATAGCAGCTGGTCTCAACAAAGCAATCTGGTTCACATATAATATGATATAATGCTAAATTGACGGGAAAAAAGAGATCCCCATGATATTGTTTGAAATAGATATTTCACTCTATGAATACTATGATAATGCTTGGAAACATCTGGGGGGTCCCTGAGAGCCAACAACATACCAACATATATATATATATATATATGTATATATATATATATATATATATATATATATATATATATATAAAAATATATATATATATGTGTGTGTGTGTGTGTGCGTGTATATATATATATATATATGTATATATATATATATATATACATACAGTGGAGTCCACTTATAACGAGTCCTGAAATAACGAAAAGTCTGTTATAAAGACATTATTCTAAAACCCCGTTTTTTTCCCTTCTTTATCTTTGTAAATAAAATACTGCTGTAGCGCAATCAGATAAACGCGCGAGTCGGTTATAGCGGAATATTGCTGCTGCTGTACACAGCGCATAGGCCTTTTTTTTTATAATGAAAACCTCACCAGTTGAGAAACTTGTTGGTGATCAAGCGAAACAAAGAATGGGAGAGCCCACGTATGCCAACGACGAAGGCCGGAGAGAATGAGTGGCGAGGGTGTGGCACGCGCAGACAAGCCGTTGTGAAGCAGAACGCATTGCCCGATAGTGAAGGCCTCCCTAGTCTAGATTATCTAGGCCTATCATGCCTCTCACTTCTGAAGCGGGGATGGAGAGGTCAAAGTCAAGGTGCTGAGACGGATCATGGAGTGAATGTATAACGAGCGCAAACAGACGCAGGAATGCACCACATTGTGTGGTGGGGTGGGGGGAAAACATAGCGGGCGAGTTAGCCTAGAGAACTTTCGTTCTGATAGCCAACGCCAAGCTGTCAACATCGCTAATGCTAGAGAAAGAAACCTGATTCAATTTTTGATCAAGTAAGACCTAGAGGTCATGTTGAACAAAGCCATAGTCAGAGGTAGAGGGGATAACAAAAAAGAAATAAACAGAACACCAAATGCATAGATTAGGCCTACTTTATCATTTCCTTTGATTTTATTACGAGAATCCTGCTATACCGGACATTTAGTACCGGTCCCCTCCCTCTCGTTATAACAGGATTCCACTGTTATATATATATATATATACATATATATACACATATATATATATATAATATACATATACATAATAATATATACATTATGTGTGTATATATATATTATATGTACCCCCATGAAGCATACCAGCCAGCAAGAGGTGATCAATAGAAAACCCAGAAGGAGAGTTTTTAAGAATTGTTAAAACTGTTTTTAGATTTTATCAACATAGTAGTAAAGGTCAAGTTATGACCACTAAACACTTTGTAAAATATGCTTGGCATCCACACAAAGATTCTTACTGACCACACTGTGTGCAACACTGATCCCTGTTCCAACCAAAATTCCATTATCATTATATTTTTCTTACAATTACAAAACATTCAAGAACAGAGACAAAAGAAGGCACTCACTCATACATGCAGCATGACTATGGGTGAATTCTCTGTCTGATCAACTGCTTAAACAGTTTGGCTGCTCATTTTAACCAATCAAATGGCCACATTTTCTGTTTCTTCTTTTTACACTTTCCCGCTGAAATCCTGGAGAGGTGAACAAACTTCACACATTATATATAGATATATTTTATATATAATATTTTGTCCTCACATCTACAGTATTGTTTAGCATCATATAAGAAAGACCTTCCTGACACATGCTTGTAAATAAATGTTATTTCTTTTCTAGTTCAGCTACAACAAACATGTCCCCCCCCCCCCCCCCCCCCCCACACACACACACACACACGCACACAAGTCTAGTAAAACAATGCTGCTTCCAACTGAAATGCAACAAAACATGGAAGTAACAATGAACCTCATAGTAATAAACATAATGCTTTGACTTTGGGAACTCGATAAACAGGATGAAAAAATTCTTTCAAAACAACATTGTGATTATCATGTAGGCTACATTGCTGCCAATCACAATAGCACCATAAAATCAAAACAATTTAATATGAAATCCAAACCTTAATATCACAGGAAGGCACACATGCTGACGGCTTAGTTAAAGAGACTGAGTATAATTATTTGTGTCACGACGCGGTGGAAACAGGCGCTCATCAATTTTTTGGGCATGAGGAGTTATTGGTTTCATCTGAAAGCCAATTTATTTGCCTTGCTTTCAAAGAGATAAATAGCCATCTATTTTGAATAGAACTCAAGATATTCACGATTGAAGGAAGTGAGTTTAGCGGGTTTCAGTCGTGAAATCAGTGAGAAAATGGCCACCAAAGTTTAGTAACTCCAATAGCTGAAAAAAGAAAAATGACAAATTTTGTGCATTTAATCAATGTTTTAGATTTAGAGTAAGTAAAATTCACACAGAAACGTGTTTTTATATGGACATTAAAGAGGTGGAGCCAAAAAATAAAAATTCGATCAACATTTCCAAACTGGGGGGAAAAAAAGCCTGTTTCTCCGATTTCTGTATTTTGACGAGCCCCTCATTTCACCAGGCTGCCTCACATTTGTTATTGTACATGTTTCACGTGCTCCATTAACACCATTGAGATCATTTTAAGGGGGGTGGGCAGCTTCTTCCCTGCCGAATCTGAAATAGAACCCCAGCAGAAAGACGGAGATAACAATTTAACTTTCTCACATCGGTGGGAATGCTGACGTAAAATCATACAGAGAGATATGTTTGTGATTATAATACTATTATTCCTGAAGTCAGGATTGCGGGAACTGTTGCACTTGACCTCTTGACCCATAAAGCACAAACAACATGTCCACATTATATCTACAATTTCTACAGCAGCATTTCCTTTTTTGATTAACTTGACTAAACATGAGTAGTAGGGGAGATTCACATCACCTGTGCCACTAAGACATCGTATCATGTATAGAGGTACTGTTGACAGGAAAGAAAGCTGCCATAAGACGCTGGAAACGACTGCATGTTCACTTATAAAAATAACTTATCGTCAAAAACTGCAATGCCAACATTGGAGGGCGGGCACAACAATTCAAACGACCACCTCAAGAAGTAATGACATCACTTGCGATAGCTCTGCATCAGTTTTGTTAAAAATGTTTAACGTAGACATGTTTTAATCCATATTTAATCATTAATCCATATTTAATCATCAATTCCGACAATCTCCCCAACAGAAAAAAACAACAACCAAAGATATATTGGGCATGATCACAGAGCAGACCTGTCTCTCCCTGGTCAGTGCTTGTCTCAGAAAAGCCTTCTCAATGGGACCTACATCTCCTATAGCATTCTCCAAAAGATGATACAGGAAAACAGCTTTGAGATGTGTGCAGTCGGTTACAAAAATATATAATCTGTCCCCATGGTTTTATGCACCCTGCATAATTTAGCAAAATTTGATCATTGTTTGCATAATTGATGATTATTTTCCTTTATCATTCTTTGTTAAAATTAAGAGAATCGCATAATTTCACATTTTTTGGCTCAGTTTGCATAATTTCTGAATTTTTCTTGCATAAAACGACGGGGACAGTATTATAAACACTAATGTTTTAGCTGACATGACGTACAGGAACTGGTTATACAAAGCTAGAAAAAAGCCAGCTCTAGTGAGCACACTGTAGCCACTGCCTCTCTTCGAAAGAAAGTTAGTTTGATACACTGGAAAAACAGGTAAAGTGAGCAGGAGTTTGCCCATTATAAAACTGCATTTATCGTTCATTTTTAGTATAATTAATAAGAGTTTCCTTCTCTTTTGTTTTTTTATATTATATATTACAAATGAGTCTTTCTCTTTTAGAGTTTGATTTAAAACATGTCTTGACTGCAGAATCCAAAGTTTGAGGCATTTTCTAGGGTTCAGATGGTCAGAGTTCAAACGATCCAATATAGAATTACTACCTGATGCCAGCTTACTTTAGTTTAATAGACTACTTCAAGTAAGTTTGAAGAAAGGGGGTTTGATTACTTGTATATCATATATAGCTCTCAGCCCTATCTCTGCTAAACAGGAGTTATAAGGTTAGCTAGAACATCTCTTTTACTAGCTGCCTCCGGTTGATAATGATTGCACAAGGCTCTCAACTCCTTCTCTGATTTGTTGATATCTGGAGTCGGGTCAATTTCGGACAAATCTAGAAACTCCTCTTCTTCCTCATCGTTCTCCTCCTGCAACAGGAAGCAGTGAAGAACGCAGCAGGCCACAATGGTCACCGGAATGTCAGACTCCCGCTCCATGTCCAGGAACTTGAGGCGCTGAAAACGACCTTGGAGGAGCTGTAGGGAAATTTTCACGGCCAGCACAGCGTTCGTGTGCCGGTCGTTGAATTCCTTCTGCTGTCGAGTGAGGCGACGGACATCACCTGGGAACGGAGTGAGCATGAACGGCTCCAGTGGGTATCCCGCATCCCCCACAAGGTGGAGATCGGCCGGGAGAGGGTCGTGCAAAAGTTTGGCTCGCAGGTCACACGACCTGTACACAGTCTCGTCATCCACAGACCCTGGATTGCCGCAGTGGACGTCGAGGAACATAAAGTTTGCATCACATACCGCCTGCATATGGATACTGAGATAGCCCTGGCTGTTTCTGTATGCATGGCCTAGGCGAGATTTTTGCTTGATGGGAAAGTGTATTCCGTCAACGGCTCCTACAACACCTGGCATCCCCGTCTCTTGGTCGAATTCAAGAGCAATTTTACGAAGTCCAATTTGATCAGTTGGCCATTTGATATAGTCACTTCTCATCTCCGTCAGAACCTGAAAGTGAAAGACAAAACTACAAGAGATGAATTTCAAGCAGCCAACATGATTACCTCTAGCAGACAACACAGAATTTCATCTGTACTTGTGTATTATTTTCAATACATCTTTGCAAGATTGTAAGGAAATAAAACTGCATTGCAGTGAACCCTCCATTGCAGTTAATTTCATGAAAAAAAAATTCACAATGTTTTACATACAGTTCTATTATGTGGCAAATAAAACTAAGAATCTCCCCTCCCCCCCCATCTCCCTGATTCTGCTCTTCATCTTACTAAAACTCACACAAACAAGAATACACACAGGAACGAAGACACAGATGTATGCAGTGTATGTGCGCATATATTAAACGATATTATCCAAATGCACTGGCCAGATTCAATGATTAAATCAAAATCATAACATTATAAAAATCTCTTTCACCTATTCAAATCGATGCGCTATTCTAATATTAATAATCCATACTAATACTACAGTAGAGTACACGAATCCCGAACATGAAAATCCCGAATTCTCGGGTATGTCGAACATAACGTTTGGTCCCGTTTTAGTCCCCATGTTTTCTTTGTATTGATTTCACGGAGTTCCCGTACACTCGGAACACGCAACACTCGAAGCTCGAACTCAAACAAATCCACTTCGCATTCTCAAAAAAAGACCCAGCTTTAAAGCCTCTCTGGCCGCGGATAGGTGATTCTTTGTTATATTTAATTATTGTTACAGCCAAAACGTGGTCCTTGTCTTACCACAAGAGGCTGGAAGAAGGGGGGGGGCAGGGAAGGGGGTTGGGGAGTGATGCTGACCGCACCGCATGACTGGCTCGCCATGCGTGCAATCATGCTGTGGGACGCGCGCGTTGCAGAGATGGCAAGAGGTGTAACTTTTTGTAAGACATTGAAATGAGAGGAAAGGAACGAAATAGGTGTCGGCTGGGCACAGGTGAAATTTACTGCTCTCCACTTTCAAAACTTTCTCGCATCTTCTTGCTTTCACACCATCAACACGATCATCAGGGGAGTTAACCACATTGATTGTTTTCATGTTCTTTTCGTTACCTCCCTTGATTTTCTCTCTATTTCCTTTGTATTTGGGGCTTTCATGGACATGACAAATTACGGAAATCTCGACCACTATTTCCAAACCCCGACGAATTCGAGTTACCTGTGTTTGACTGTTCTTACATAGAATAGTATAACATGGATAGCTCAAATTAATTTGTCAGGACCGGCCTCGGTAGTTCGAGGGATATAATCTTTCAAAGAAAAATAAGCAGGAAAAAAAAAGGGGACCAAAGGCACAGTTCGACAGATGCATGATTTCGAGTCTTCTGTGTGCGCCCTATCAGTGAAATACTGTATTAACTGCACATCATAAAACAAATAATATCTAACAAAAGCTAAATAAAGACTCCCACAACCTAAGTCCTTCAAACTGTATTGGAAGCACTATTTCCAACAAAAAAAAAAAAAAAAAAAAAAAAAAAAAAAAAAAAAAAAAAAAAAAAAAAAAAAAAAAAAAAAAAAAAAAGAAAAAAAAAAGAAAGAAAGAAAAAAGAAAACCCACAAATACCATGTCAGTATGATGGTTCATAATACAAAAAAAAAGAATTGTTCTTTTAAAAAATATTCAATTAATCATCTTTCTTGTGATTCATTAACACTATCCACCCACGCAGCAGAGCGCGCAACACTTATCTCCATAGACCAGGAAACAGATGCGGTACATGCTATATATATATACATCACACCGTCGCTGATCAGCATCCCGTGGGGAAAAGGTACGGCTTCTTACCGTCGCCGATCGCGCGTCCCGCAGGGGCAAAGTGTTAAAGTTAAAGTAAGCACTCTGCAAATTCGTGATGAGGAAAACAATTAAAAGCAGCAACATGTACGCAATTAATTATACCATTTGTTTTGTAGATTGCTCAGATTAACATGGGGTGCCTCAAGGAAGAATGGAACATAATTTTATCTGCGAGTAGAGCTCACCTGGCAAAAATTCTTAAGAGTCAGATACAGCGATCCCTTAGACATATGATATTTGTCCGAGGCTACGATGTAGCTGGTCTTATTGCCAAGGAGAAAGAGAGATGCTAAGACCTTTTGCTCAAGAGTCTGCACCCTTCCAATCATCTTAGGATGAGCTCCCACTTTGTCCATCAGCTCCTGTGAGTATAAAAAATAAAATTCAGTTACCAGTCAAACAAAAAACCCCCACAATCATCAGAGAGCATAAATAATGATTATAATAGCCCCAAATAAGAAGATCTCTGTGACTTTATTCATCGCAACAGTTGCTATGTTGGACATCTTTCTTCACAACTGCAGAAGTACTAGCTCCTTTGATTTAAAAAAATTAATTTCAAAGGAGAGCTATATTGGCAATGTACATAGAGTTGACTATGGATGAGTTGAAGTCATGGGGGGGGAGTGAAAAAAAAGAGATAAATTCATCCGAAGTATAAAAAGAAGAAGAGGTGCTGGGACCCGAGAAAAAGATCAACTTAACCGAAGATCAACTCAAGCGAGTTCAACACGAGTGGAGTCCACTATATTACAAACCATGGTTGCTTCCTTTCTATTATTCAATCCTGACCTGAGCTCTCTTGAATGAAGATTTTATATACCGTACTTTTGGTTTGCATGACGTTACATGAATATATTAAGTCATGTCCCACTCTGAGAAATACTCCAGGGAACATGATCTCTATCATGAGCAAATATGGTGGCAAATCTATTTGTTGTGATTAAACCATAGAATTCATGTCTGTACATCTTTCAATACACAGGGCAAATTTAATTAACCTTTATTTTTACACTACACCACGACCTGTTTTTAAAATGTTTCTACATAAAACGGGGAACAAAAGAATGTTTGAAAAAAAAAATTAGTCTTCTACTAAGTAAACAGTCATTAGAAGTACAGTGGAATCAATTTATAACGAGTCCTGAAATAACGAGAAGCCTGTTATAAAGACACTATTCTAAAACCCTGTTTTTTCCCCTTCTTTATCTTTGTAAATAAAATACTGCTATAGCGCAATCAGACAAACATGTGAGACGGTTATAGCGGAATATTGCTACTGCTGAGCACAGCCCATATAGGCCATTTATTCACATGTAAAACTTTGACAGTAGAGAAAGTTGTTGGTGATCCAGCTAAACAAAGAATGGAAGAGCCCACGTGTGCCAACAATGAAGGCTGGAGAGAAAGAGTGGGGAGGGTGTGGCATGCGCAGACAAGCAAAACGCATCACAAGATAGGGCAGCCTAGTCTAGATTATCTAAGCCTACTACGCCTCTCACGCCCAAGAAGACGGAACGCACCACAGGGTGTGGTAGGGTGGGGGACAACACAGCGGGCTAGTCAACATCGCTAGTGCTTGAGAAAGAAACCTGATTTGATTTTTGATGAAATAAGAATTAGAGGCAGAGATCATGTTGAACCAAATCAAAATCAAGGGAGATAACAAAAAGAAATAAACAGAACAAAAGACTCATAGATTAGGCCTACTTCACTATATTTCCCTTGAATTTATTACTGGATCCCTTATAACGAGAACCCTGCTATAACGTACACTTCACACCAGTCCCCTCCCTCTCGTTATAACAGGATTCCACTGTAGTTTAATCAAAGTATTGAAAGGTAAAATTGTGAAGTCTATATATATATAAAATATGTGCACTTACGAGTCCACGAATAACAGCAGAGGAAAGAAGACATGTTATAATAAAACTTGTAACTACTAATCATTTTTACTATATAAATTAATATAGTGGAACTTGGATTTAACGAAGTCGTCGAGCCTGGCCTTTAATTAAGTTGAATCCGAGAGTTTGCGATAGCAAACCAGCGCAAGTAATATTTCCTCAATCAAAAGTAGGTGGGTTTCAAAATAAATGAGAGACATTTTCATTTCTTTGATACCGAAGAAATACAGGGAAAATTCCAGGAAAATACACTGAACTCTACCAAGGACACACTGTGAAAAAGGGCAGATTCCTTCAACACGACGCACCGGCAGGGGAATTTTAGTTGCCGTGGGGGCCTTATCACGTCGGGGTCACCTCCCCGTCGCCGCTCTGTCTGGGCCGACTTAATTTTTGGTACTTTTCAACATACAATTTAAGGTATATTCTTGTATTTATGGTAATTCTCATTTATTTAGTGCACCCAAAGCATGCATTTCTGCTCTTGAGACTCAAAAAAGAACAGACGTTGTAACTTGTCTGGTTATTTCGTTAGACGCGCTGGAGTCGGCAATGCTAAATTGTAATTTTGTTTGGACTAGCATGAATGAAAAAAAATCAATATAAAAAAAAGGCCTCGTCTAAATCTTTCGAACTTTTGGAACATGAACGACATAGCATTGGTGTAGATACTCAGAAAAGATGGTATCTGCGCATATAATAGAAAGCTGTAATTTTGCAATTTTATCCATCGGGCACACAATTCGCTAAGAAGTAATTCCTCCAAATACAACTTTATGTGTCTAATATAATCTTGAATATTCGCATATTTTCTCGAAAGTCTATAAAAGTTACCATGAAGTTTCTCTATGAAAAATACAAATCGATTTTAGTGCTAGAATACTTCTTCAATGTAGATCTAATACACGAACAGTACCCGTTACACTCCAGAAATTCCTTACTTTTCTTAAAACGCTAAGTCTAGGTTTTGTAAGTTGACTGAATAACAGGGATGACGTCTCGTAATTGGCTTATAAGAATGATTTCTAGCTTTCTAGGGACACTGAATCAGCACCAGACTTTTCCAGCTTTATTTTTCGTTTCTATGACCATTCGCTATAACTGACAATGTGACTGATTTCTTTACATTCATAATTGTGTCCGCGCATATTTCCGACACAAAAACTAAGAATGAATGTGTTAGCTGTCATTATTTTTATTCCATACAAGAAGTTTATCTCTACCCATGTATTTACACGGTTTTGTAGTTTTTAAAAACGCTTATATTACATCTTTTTAGTTGTATGCAGCCTGCCACAGACACAGCATGATATTGATTCATGAACAAACGCAGAGTAACTTTCTCTTGTTTTAATAGTGAAATAAGAGCTAACGCTGATCGTCTTTAGTTAAAAAATGCAGATGTGCATCTTTCTTCTCTTATAACTGTTGACTCTACTAGCGCAGATTTAAGATTTCTCATGGTAAAAGACATGATATTCGTAGTCAGTTTAACACAGATTTTGGAGAGATCTGTCGAGCCTTTTTAAAATTAACAATTATTTATTCAATTCATAAGTTTGTAACTAAAATAGCACAACTTGCGTACTCTACAAACACTTGTCTAGAACAAAAACTAAGGCACAGAAATTAACCATTCTAACGCAGAACAAATCTCAAGACATTGAGCTTTTAGTACATCCGCGTTATGGTTTGCTATGTGGGATGGGGAAGAAGTATATATCGTTTTAAACATAGTCAAAAATGTGAACTTCCTGACCGACACCGGCAAAGTCGCTTCAGGGCTCATTAAACCCGTGACCCCGAGCCGGGGAGCTCCGGCGGGCTGCTGAGTCACGCTAACTAAAAGTAACAAAATCGGGCGAAAAGTGACGCCGTGTGTACGCAACCTTGAATTCCAAAGACCAGCGCGCAATTTATTATTACATCTATGTCAAGACCAGCTTTTCATTAAGTACAGTCCATGCCGGCTTTAAGCACGTTTCGGATTCAAGCACGCTAAACGGCTCTTACCGAATTTTTGCTGTATAAATGACACGCCTTTAAGCACGGTAACTTCGGCTTCAGGCACGCTTCTTTTACAAGACAGTCAGTACTTTCATGACGACCAATCGAAGTTCGAACAGTCTACACCGCAGCAGTGGAGTGTGTTAAGAGAAACACAAAGAACGCAAGTGATGGTCATGGAGACACACACTCACACGAACGGAGAGGAAGGCAGAGAGATGCACACAGCCGCACGCGTGGACTTTGGATCTAGCCTAGGGCAAAGCTACACACAGACACAAAAAATACGAAGAGAGTCGTGGAGACGAAAAAGGGAGGCTGGCTGCGATTTCACCTTTGACCCTCGCTATCCATTAATCCTGATTGTGTATTACGCGCGAGGTGGATAAAGGCAGTGGTATGAATGTGGCACAGAGGGCAGTGGTAAGCACAGGCAGTGTGTAGACCCAGTGTGCTGTATCGTGACTGGCTGTCTAAATTAAGTTTTCATTTCCCGTTCGACCACAAAACAAAAACAAACAAGCAAACAAAAACTACAATGGCGGGTAAAAATAACAGCGCACACTTTTGCGGGACCGCTATAGGCCTACTTACAAACAAAGGGAAATAGCACGGGAAATTTTCTACATGAAAATCTCTGGATTATGTCTACTTTTCGCACTCAAGCACGCTTCGGCATTAATTGCGCTTAAAAGTTTTCTCCCGATGACCGTGCTCAAAGCCGGCGTGGACTGTATTTATACAATATTGATCTTAGCCTGGAAAAAAATAACTGTGTCGTGTTTGCATCTCTACTGACGTTTCAGGCCTGCACCGCTTCTTGTACCCCCTCCCCCCACATCCCCCAGATACACGCACACACAGTAAAATCTCTGTTCCGACCCAATCTTTGTAGCTCCTTGATTCTCTGACACATACATAGGGCCTACTGTTCACGTATCCCTTGGAACTATGGCTACGGATCCCTTGAACTACAGAGGCTGGTCCCGACGAATTTGAGCTATCCGTGTTATACAATAGGCTACTGTAGATCTATTTCTAATGTCAAAAGGAAAAAATCATGTTTAGTAAACACAATGAATGCCCTATTTCCCAGAACGCTCTGGAAAATAAACTTGAATTTGAACTCTAGCCTATTTCTCCAAACGGATTAATCAGTTCTCAACATTTTTTGGTTATAATTGGCGAATGGAGGCGCCAGCGTGCGCAGGGACTTTTTTGTGATAAAGTTTTTCCTTCTCGCAGTAGGCTACCCTTTGAGGGTATTTTCAAATGAAGTATAGAGTCTAGATCTAGATTTTCTAGATCTATACTCTAGATCTAGATTCTAGTCCGGGAAAGTTGCCCCAACCATAAATGAAGTATCTGAATATTCACACTTCTAAAAATCGATGCAAAAAATGCTTCTCCCCAGTCCCTGCGGAATGGCACAATGAAAGACAGATGACATTGGACTCTCGCAAATAGGCCCTAACCAAAAAATCTCGAGAACGGAAACAGTTTTGAGTAAAATAGAGGTCAAATTAAATTTTCCCGAGCATTCAGAGAAATAGTCACTTTGTAAAAAAATACTTACAGATGCAACAATGCGACTCATCCTGTAGTGCGACTTGAAAAGTGGGTCTGCATCCTCTGGCTCAGCAAGAATATAATCTTCCTTGCTGTCTTCAGCATCATGATCATCACTTTCACTGTCTATGTCAACAGGTTTTAGGTCTCCTTTCACAAGTTTCACAGACTCTTCAGGGTATTGACAGTCATTCAACTCCACATCTTCAACAATGCCATCAACTACCACTGAATAGGAATAAGAAGACAAGTCAAGATTAATGTCTTCAGCATGAACTATGTAAGAACTGGCGTCATCAGGATTTACACCTTCTGGTAAAGTGTTGTGGGGAACCTCCACTTGGACTTGATTACCATCAGCATCGACCGTTACAAACAGTCGTTTCTTGGGCGAACTTCCCATTCCTCCTGTAACTACCGTATCATATTCTGCAGATGATCTCGACAAGGACGACTGTTTCTGACCATCACCAGTTTCCACAGGAAACGCACTCTGAGAAAATGTAGTCTTTTGAGGCGAAAGTTTTCTCTTGAGAGTAATGTACGTTTTCGGTTCTTCTGTTGGCGCAGCCATGTCAATCTTACTAGGCCTAGGCTACTTTTCGTTTCGTCTGCTATCGAAAACATTAAAAACATTGAAGACCTTCGAGAAAACCGTTATTATACAAATCAATGTTTCTATAAAAGTAAGACCGTGAATTCATTATTTTATATCTAGAAATTAATAAATAATAAATATATTTTTTGTAGAAATAAATTGTAGCTCGAAACTGTTTCAATGGAAAAGTATCAATTGAAACTCTTGATAGTGATTGATCCGAGTCATAGATGCCTAATCTGAAATTGAATTTTACTTTTTTATTCAATGTAAACCACTTCCGGTTGCGAGCTTGAAGTTGATATCCAACGACAAACAGTCGAAGCCCGAATTTTCTTGTTACCTTTTACTCTCATTTGTTTTTGGACATTATGTCGTCCTATACCAATTCACCAAGACGTGTCAATGATTTTGATGGTGCAGAGAGTTCAGATGCTGAAGAAGAAAAGGACCCTGATGGAAATGTCTCTGATGAAGGCAAGTGTTCCTTACTCTCCCCCGTCGGCGTCGTCGCCATCTCAGTATCAGTGTCTGTAGATTCTGTTTGTGTGTGTGTCGTGTGAACGGGGGTGGAGGATTTTATACAAATATTTTGTAGTCTTTGCTTTAGGTTTGACTTATTGCAAAATATGTTAGGCCTACTGCCAAAGTCGAGCTGTCTGTTTTCCTTGCGTTACCTTTTGTAGACATTTTCAAATGAAGTATGATACTACGAAGTGACTATTCTGAGTCTGACTCGAGTCCGAATATGAAAAAATGTTAGGAAGTGGCTATTCTCAACCGGGGTGAGAATAGAAAAACGATCTACCTCTCATCCCGGGTGAGACTTGCCAGCGTAGGCTATTCTCACCCGGTGCGAAACAAGACCCGCTTTTCCTCATTTTGGAATACTGTCTATCGGTGTGGATGATCAAATTGATAAAAGCCAAGAAAAAATTACGTTATAGCACAAAAGTAAGCTAATTTGATCGTCTTCAAAGATGCTATGGCTATTTCACTGTTCGAATCGAGCCGAACTACGTGGGTCGCCATTTTGTTTTGCCCGGAAGTTCTCGCAAGATCTACTCCTCCCCTCTCTCTCTCTCTCTGTCTCTTTCTGAATACTGTCTATCGGTGTGGACGATCAAATTGACCAAAACAAAGTTAAAAAATGATGTTAAAACACAAAAGTAAATTAATTTGGTTGTCTACAAAGATGCTACGGCTATTTAACTTTTCGAATCGAGCCGAACTACGCGGGTCGCCATTTTGTTTTGACCGGAGAAGTTCTCGCGCTACTCCTCTCTCTCTCTTTCTCTCTCTCTCTCTCTCTCTCTCTCTCTCTCTCTCTCTCTCTCTCTCTCTCCACTACCCACAGACAAAATTGTACGCTTTTAGTAGGCTACAGTTGTAATGGAACGTTTGTTCACGGCACAGAATTCTACAATTTTTCTGTTATCACAGTGTAGAATTCTGTGGTTTAGGGTGAACGCAAAATTTGTTGGCCAAGATCTAGGCTATTATAACGGTGAACGCGCACTGGGTGAGAATAGCCAAAAGACTCGCCTGCACTATTCTCATCCCGGGTGAGAATAGAGGTGGCCAAAATGTTATTCGGACTCTGATTCTTGTCCAGCATGACATCACTTCCGACTTCCAACTTCCTGTGACTCGTGAATCCGGCTTCCTGTCCTGCCTCACTCATGACTCGCCTCAGGCTGGGGAGAGACCAGGATCACTTCAGGCAAAAAGGCGTTTTGTGCAGGAGCCGAGTTTTAATCTTATGATGAATTTGAGGCCGGCCTGAAAAGTTATAGGGCTTCTAATAAATGTTTATTTGTCAAGAGGTCATCAGAAGCAATTAAAGATGGCTCGTTAGCATGTGTCGGGGTCGGATGGGCGGCCTGCACACGTGTGGCTGAGTGCGTGTCAGGGAGGGGTTGGGGGGGGGCACTATCGGTCCGGGCGTTGAAAGTCGCATACGCGTCAGTCCCCCCCCCCCCCCGGCAACTGATCATTATTACAATAATAAGCTAGTCTTGACGTAGATCTGCGTAATGAATTGTGCGCTGGTCTATGGAATCAAAAGTTGCTGTATGCTCAGCTCTACACAGCAACACAACTTTTTCTTGGTAAACAATCGATATGAGGAGCACGGGATGCGTATTTGATCGAATCGGTCTTTTTTTTTTTACACAGGGCAAGTTTACCTAGAATGAGGGAGATGATAGATTTTCTTAGCTTTCACTTTACGTCGAAAACTAATGTTCACTGATGGAAGGGGGGGGGGGGGGGGGCGTATATGAGGCGACGGGCATTGGATCGGCAGATAAGGTGTTTGGGAAACTAAAAAATGGTGGAAAATTGGAAGCACTGAACGTTAGATCTATAGAACGAAGACACTTCCTTTTTCCGGACCCGAGTCCGAATAACATTTTTTCATATTCGGACTCGAGTCCGGAATAAGAAATTTTTTTATTCGGACTCGAGTCCGAATATGAAACTATGTTATTCGGACTCGAGTCCGAATAACGACGGCCATATACTAACAGTCCGGGAACATTGCCCCAACCACAATTGAAGTATCTGAATATTTAGACATCTGAAAACTCTAGCTCTAGAAATCGAATTCGATGTAAAAAATGCTTCTTCCCTGTCGATGCAGAATGGCAGAATGAAAGATGACGCCGAACTCTCGAAATAACCAAATAATCTCGAGAATGGAAACCGTTCAGCGAAATACTGATCAGTTTATTTCCCGACTGTTCCGAGAAATTGTCACTTTGTAATTATAACCATAGGCTAGATCTGTAGCTTGTTATTTTTTGTTCACTGTTGTTTTCTGTTCATGGTGTGAAGTGGCCTTCTCCCAGCCCATTAAATAAACTAAACCTGAAGCTTATCTATGTCTGTACAACTAACTTATGAGTTATTCTGTGTGCTATTCTGTGTGTGTTTGTGCTATAGCACACCTAAGGGGAGTGAGAATAGTGGCTCGAGACACAGGGTGACAGGGTTAGAATGTTCTACAGATGTCTCACTGTCAATGTCCAGTTGGGGGGGTAGGGAGTCACGAGCTATTCTCACCATGGGTGAGAATATAGGTGGCCATATCTAGATTCTAGATTAGATATGATTTTAATTCAGTTTAGTTCTATAAGAAACACGTGAGAATTATTACAGTCAGGGGGTACTTGGGCCTAGTGTGATTTAGTGCAAACAGGACCACAATTGTACACGAGGGCCGCCTGTCGACTCTGATTATTTTTTAAATTCTTTGCAGAACTGTTCGGTAGGCCTGCGTACGAAAGCAAGTTCAAACAAAGTTCATCAACGCCGTGCTAATGATCGACCGTTTCGATCCGGATCATTTCTTTTAAAGTTTTGAAAGCACAAGAAATTAAGCGCTTACAAGAGATTGGACTCGATAATACGCTGAGCTGCAAATGGAGTAATTCGAGACTGCAAGGTTTGCAAATGGATACTGTGAGGTACAAATGCAGTGTACTAGGGGGAACCACTGGCACTAGGAGAAACTCAGGGGGGGGGGGGCTGCTGGTGGGGGGAAGATGAAGGAGCAGAAAGCAGTGAAGGAAGAGGGGCAGGGTGGAGGGGTGATGTTGTAAAGGGGGATGGACAAATAAAGGAGAAAATATAATAATATGTAATAGTAAATGCTGAAGGAGCTTTGAAACTGCTGGTGTAAGGATGCAAAGTGCAGACCGCTGAAGGAACTTGGAAACTGCAGGTGCAAACCGCGCGCTGCGCAAAATCATCACTAATTTTTAGAATCACGATCCAATAACGTGGCGGGCATCCCCCGTTAAGGTTAAACAAGATGGCTGTTTCTATAAATATCGGCCAATGGCATTTAGTTGTCGTTCTCTAGCTATCCGCTAGTTAGGCCTGCCAGGTGTCCATTGCGGATTGAGTCGCGTCAGGTCGACCGCCCCCTGTCCTGCAGTTCCTGTAGATTCTCTCACCGATAAGCATGTATTTTATTGTTTGAGCACCCTCGCCTTCCGGTGGGTCTCACAGCTGAAGCCTAGCCTACATCATCCAGATCGCTTATTAATCTTGTGCATCTGTGCAGTTGGCGCAATTATTTAGTCTGAGTAGATCACTCTGGGGCGCCAGGCTCTTGTAAATCTACGCAAGCAAAATGGGGCAAGAATGGCAAGTACTTGCACCGGACAGACGGCTGTATTTGTTGCTGCAGATCACACATGACGTAGATCCATCTGATATGGCCACTGGAATTGTCAGAAGTCAAATCATTCCCGAATCTTTTGAGGGTGACTAACTAAAATGAAGTTCCCATTGCTGAGTTTAGATGTTTTTAGTGAGGTTTTTTTAACAGGAAAAGAAAGGCTCACAAATTTTCCTTCACAAATCTTTTACAGATACTGCAGATGCCAGTGAGACAGAGGACAAACGTAAGAACCATCAAAATACCACACCCAATGGGGGCCAAAGGACTGAGATAAAAGAACAGTAAGTTATATATATATATATATATATATATATATATATATATATATATATATATGGCATTTCATTTAAGTCTTACCCTCACTGTCTTCATTAAATAATCTCAATTTAACCCTGTCTGCCAGCTTTTCGGGTGTTAGAGAATATTTATTGTCGGATAAGCATTCAAAGTAGGCACTTATAATTTGCACTATTTTTTATGTCATGTATAATTGAGGTGAAAACATTTTCAATATTTATTTTTTGTTTTTGTATGATTATTTGAAATATAGCGTACATATGTATGAACAAAAGTAAACGTGGAATTTCTTGAGCTCTTAGTTGAGGAAGTACAAAAAACAGCCTCTGAGGCACTTTTTTTAGAACCCTTTTCATTTTTCCACAGAATAATAATTGGATAAGTCACTTTGGTGGCCATCTGGTACACCTTGTTCATAATCAGAACACATAGAAATGAACGGGGTTTTTTTTCATTCAGAGGCTGGACGTTTTCTTAATTCAACATAAAGTTTGCAAAACACTGTGCCAGATCTAAAAAAACCAAACCTATTGTAACTCTCCTCACTGAAAAAATACCACAACCCCCCTCCGACCCTATAGGGATCAAGGGATGTAAAAACAGAATTAAAGAGGCATTATATAGCAAGCATTCCCTTTCCTCAGCTGCAGAGACTGGTCATGGCTGTGTAGATAGTGTGAAAATAGTAAAGCAATGGAAACCGACAGGGGTGTGGTATCTGGGTTTCTCGTACGCCTAGGCGTACAAACGCAGTGAGTGATGGTATTTGCAGTCAGTGACTTTAAAGTGTGAACTTCCAAGACTTTTGAATGTGAACGTGAAGCTGATAAAGCACTAGCTTGTTATGCAGGCTGCAGGGCTCAAATTATATTTTTAAAGTGATGCGCAGTGGGTGGTTGACGGATGCTCTGGTGTGGTTTGCTTCTTCTTTCCTGTCAAACATCTATCATCCTTTTTTCCTCTGATCTCCATACCCCCCGGGGCAGTGCCACTGACTGAAGTGTCTTTAGGCCATTCCCAAAGGGGGGACATTTCTCGTTCAAGCACAGTAGAATTGTAAATGCTCTGATTCATCATGTCACGCTCATATAACTGTGCCGGATCTGCAACAGTGAACTGCTGCTTTTTCTTTCCTAATCCTTACTATTGTCATTTTTCCTCTACTTCTTTTATATGTTTGTCACTCTTGTGATCTGCTATTTCCTGGGTGCCTTGATGGTCGAAGCAGACCTTGTGCTGTTGAAGCTAGAAGGTCAGCGGAGTAAGTCTGATTCCCTGTAAGGACTTCTCTGTTGACACCCACCCCTTGGCGCTCATATGACCTTATGCAGTTGTGAACTCCGTAAAACCCTCTACTAAAACAAAAAACTTGATGCACAGTGATTGAACCTGTTTATGATGAAGAAGGTACTTCTAATTGGTTTGTTCTTAAAACTAGAAAAGAAATGTATTAGTTTATCTGTCCCCGTGGTTTTATGCACCCCGCATAATTTACCAAAATTTAATCTTTGCATAATTTCTGATTATTTTTCTTTATTATTCTTTGTTAAAATTAACAGAATCGCATAATTTCACATTTTTGGGCTCAGTTTGCATAGTTTCAGAATTTTTATTGCATAAAACGACGGGGATAGGTTTATTATAAATGGTCGTCAAGTTATAATCAGACGCAGGCTTGCTTTAGGGGGAAGAAGTCAACTTTTGACGTGAATGATAAAACTGGTCCAGCAGCTGATTAGTTTTTCAGCACAACTCATTCATTCCTGAGGTCATAAGTATTTATTACTGTACATCCCTTGAGGATACATTTACCGTAGTTACAAGGCATGTAGGTGACCGAAAGGTGATTATTTTGGACTGTACGTACTCAGACAACTTTCTTGGCATTGTAAGAGATGTTGATATATACCAGGACTAGAACGTGGGTGGTTGGCGGGTGCTCTGGTGTGGTTTGTTATTTATCTGTCTTTTTTTTTTTTGGCGTTTGTTAATCTTTTGTAACACTTCTAATCTTCGGGCACTTTATGACCTTATTGTGGTGCAAGTACGGTAAAACTCTTACTACAAAACCTGAAGCAATCAGGACCAGAACAAGTGTTCTAATTATTGCCATGATGCAACAAGAGATGAGGGGCTCTCGTGGCCTAGAGGTTAAGGTGTTGGCCTCTCATTCAAAAGTCCCGGGTTCGAATCCCGGTAGTGGCTGGAAAATTTTCTTCTTTAAATTTGTCTCCTTTCACCTCCTTTCCTGCTCTCTAGCAATGTTCTGTCGTCTGCTTTAGTCTCCTCTTTCTTCCCCCACTCCCTCATCTCCTTTGCTCTCCCCCCCTTCCCCCCCCCTGTGGGCTCCTGATTCTTTCTACAGCCTTTCTACTGTTACTCCTTGGCTTCTTCTTACTGCTGTCTTTCAGCCACACCTCTGATCTTCTTGTAGGAAAGATCTACACCTAGCCTTCTCGGACAAGGGCGAAAAATCTCGGAGGGCCTGTGTGCAAGTCGCGCACGTTGAAGATCCCTCGGTGGTCTAAAATCGATAAGAGTAGGCTTCGGCCGCCACCCGGACAAAATTCAAAATTTCCTACCAACTGAAAAAGTTTAATGTGTCCCGCGCGCTCATATGACCTTATGTCGTTGCGAGCCCCGTAAAACACTTACAAAAACAACAATGAACAAGAGATGCCTTCTGTTACAGGATGTATCAAGACAAGCTTGCACAGATCAAGAAGCACATTGGTATGCTGCAGGAGGGATCCCTGCCAGAGTTCCTGAAGAGAACCAAGAAGATAGAGCTGCAGTACAGGGAGAGACTTCGTCAAAATGAGATTGCTAAAACAGTGGACGTAAGCTCGCTGTCTTTCTTTCGAAGTTATATCTGTCTCCGTGTGGACATATGGGCCAAAGGTCTTTCAAATCATATCTCATTCTCTCTTTCTCTCTCTCTCTCTCTCTCTCCCTCTCTCTCTCTCTCTCTCTCTCTCTCTCTCTCTCTCTCTCTCTCTCTGCAAATTAAGACAGTATACTTTGCACAGGAGATGGCCTGGTGCCATGTCAATGGGACTATCATATTATGTTCTAACCTGTGTGCTAAGACTTTTTATTGATGCTGCAATGTTAAAAAAACAAAACCCCTCAAATATTGGGATACCGTTTGCAGCAAAAGATATTAAAAGCAATATATGTGTATCTTATGAGTAGTTACTGGTAGGAACAGATTGTGAAAGAGGGGGGGGGGGAACAGCGTGGGAATTGGAGATGCTGGATGGAACATGACATACTGCGAGTCCCTGTTTCTATATTTGGCAGTGGGTGGTTGGCGGGTGCTCTGGTGTGGTTTTATCCTTCTTTCCTATCAAACATCTGTCGTCCTTATCTCCCCTCCTTCTTTTTTATGTTTGTTTCTCTCTTGTAACACCTCTAATCTTCTGGGGCTCATATGACCTTATGCAGTTGCGAGCGCCGTAAAACCTCTACTAAAACATAAAGCCAAATATTTGGCAGAACCCCCCCCCGATGTCGCAGAATTGACCAAAAAAATGTTAACTGTCTGTTCTTTTTTTTTTTCTCTTACTTTTTTTTTTAATTGAACAGATTGAAAAGGCTGACAGGAACTATCATGTGGACTGCACCAATGCTCAGAAGGAGTTCGAGGTCAGGAGCTATGCAGAGACGTGTATACTTGGCCTAACTGTATCAGACAGTGGCTCACGTCTCTCCTATATTCTCTCCGCAGGCATTGCTTTTGCCGTGTGCCAATTTTTTATCTGTACACATATTATGTGTGTCTGTGTACTTGGAGGGAAGGCTGTCTAGAAATTTGCTGTCATTTATGAACGTTGTGATTTTGAGGATTAAAATTTTCACTTCGTTTGGGGGTGTTGATTCAGGAGGATAGGCAGCCTTGAAATGAATGCTGTTTTGTATTGTAGACTAGGGTATATAACATTCTTTTCTTTCGTGCGGTATCAGTTAGATTCCTGTCTCTTTTTTCATCTTTTAAAGAGAAAAAATTTATATGAAACCTGATTAAGAGCTTTCAAAATAATAATGAAACATGGAGACAAAACTTTTCTTGTTGTGAGGACAATTTGTTGCATATGTAGCGTATAATCTGAATTAAATCAATTTTATTTTATTCGTACAAAACTAAAGGTCCTCTTACTGACTAGTCAAGTGTTCTGATATGCAGTTTTGAGACATCTAGGGAATTTCAAAAGAGTCTGTTGATAAACCACAGGTTTAGGCAATATAAGTGAATCCACCCATTCTCGAATGCTCATGCCCACCCTCTCACACAGATGCATACCGTGTGCGGGCCCCCCCCCCCCCCCCCACCCCCCACCCCACAGAAAAATATATATCAGCCGAGTCCTCCCAAGTGCACAGCCCTTTATTGTACAGTTTGTTCTTCTTCACATCTTGTATGTAGGAACAAGTAGTATTCTTGGTAGATATTTCTCTTTTTTTTTCTTTATTTTTTCAAATTTCAATTAATTACTTCTGAACTTTTTATTTCACTGTCTGTATGATTTGCCTCATTTCTTTGACCAGGAGTCTTAAAAAAAACAAAACAACTTTCTGTTATAAGTGTTATGATCGAGAATCTTTTCAGTGGCTTCTTTACGCTAGGTATCCTTTAGTTTACTACCTATATGAATAACATTAGATGAATGAGTCTATTTGATTTAGCAGTTAGGGGGATTCAAATCCAAAACTTAGGGCTATTTTTTTTCATATTTTATGTATAAGCAGAGAGTATTCTGTTGGGTAGTGGAAATAAGGTGACAAAACTTGTAAATGCTTTTGTAAAAAATAGAGGGAGGACATCTGTTTTCATGAGTCAGTGGAGATACAGTGGAAAATATGCTGGATTAAGAATTTATTAATAACATTGGAAAATGAATGGTGATCCTAGGGACAGACGTTGTTTGAACATGAAACACATTTGTTCTATAGTAACTTTATAGTAAATTTACAGTAAGTGTAGTAACATCTGTGGCCTGCCTTATCCAAAGTTTCGACTTTCTTACTGCCCCATCTTTTGGGCCAGTTGTTATTTCCTCATTCGGTTTTCAACGCTACATTTGGTAAAACTCTTTTTTAAAATAAATTTTAGCCCCTCCTCAATGTTTGTGGTTATAGGTGCTGCCTTATCCAGGGCTGCCGACCATTCCGTTTTTTTCGTAATCATTATGATTTTTTAGCCTCACCGCGAAATTCCGATCGTAAGGCGATTTATTACGATTTTTACCGTCGGCAGATTTTTGGCTATAAAAAGATATATTTTTGGCTCTTTTTAAAATTTTACAAAGTCTTAGTGCAGACCTGTAAATCATCCGCCAATAGTCGGAAAACCGCCAATCTCTAAATCAACCCCCCCCCTAAAAAAAGGAACTGCTTGGCCACTTCGCACAAGTTAGCCTTGCCCACAATAATAATACCGTACACGAGTAGAAGCATATAGTAATTTGAAAATGAGAGCACTATTATGAATTTTTATGGGAAATTGCTAATTTTCTTCAATGGTCTTTACTAAAAACAATGGAGATGGGTTGGCAGCCCTGCTTATCTTAAAGTGCGATCCAGTTCTGTAGTTATTGCTTCAGCAGTTATTCTTGTTAGTTTAGCAATCACATCAATGGGCGTATCATTCTTTATTGTCTCGAGGGAACGTGTTTTAATATTGTGATTTTTTGAGGTAGCGCGGCGCTTTGAATTTTGTCAAGTATTCGAGCGAGCTGACAACTCCAACATAGTCTTCTTGGGTTGCTTGTTTTGTTGCTGGGTTTTGTTTTTTTGTTGGTTTTTTTTCCCATTCGTAGAAAAATTTGCTCCATTTTTGTTTTGGTTTTCTTGGCTTTGGGATTCCTTGAAATTTGTTCTTCTTTCAAATGTGTCAAGACCTCTGCCTTCTTTTATTTTTGCTTTGTGTTTGTATGGTGGGTGCCCTTACCTCTGGAATGAAAGTCATGTCACGGTGCTTATTCGCTCTGGCCAGCTATGAGATTTTACACTTTCCCCTTTAGCATTCATTCTGTCCCATGTTATCTGTTATACTACAGATTTAAAAAGACACCAGAACTGTAAAGTTTGTTATGAGAATGTAACTAAGGTTGCACTTATGAGGTCAAAGGTCTTACTGTAAATTCTTACTTTTTTCAACTAGTAGTTTGTCATTGGAAAAAAAGAAAAAGAAAGAAGAATTGTATCGCATTTTTGGGACAGGGTTAATGGATTAGCGTTAATTCTTTGTGCCCTCAAAGGTCCTTTTTGGTTCTAACGACTTACTTCACTTCACTTTTCCAATCCAGCGGCCATCTGGGTTCTAGACCTTTCGGCCTGTGGTTCTAATGAAAAATTACATGCGTCTTAAGTTGAAGGAGGAGAGAGGGGTGTCGCATATTTCATCATGCTGTCCCCGTCGTTGTATGCAAGAAAAATTCTTAAATTATACAAAATGAGCCCGAAAATGTGAAATTATGCGATTCTGTTAATTTTAACAAAGAATGACTAAGGTAAATAATCAGAAATTATGAAAAAAATGATCAAATTTTGCTAATATGGGGGTACATAAAACCACGTGGGCAGATTATGGCATAGAAACTACTCTGGCTCTATCAATCGGTAGGTCGCACGTAGTAGCTCTTCAGCATTGTGGGGTCAGATTGCAGTTCTTCTCGATGTTAATCAGGGATGCCAAATCTCCGTTTTTTCCGGCTTTTTCCGGGTACATTTACCTGTGTGCACACACAACATATTGATTCATCCACTAGCAAAGGAAAGGGGAATGGTAAGAGAAATGTTTTTGTTTGCTCATTTAAAGATATTTCACAAGGTTTGTTTTAGGTGAGGTGTGATGCTCTGCTCATTTTCAGTTGTTTTTAAAAAAAAATCATTTGGCATCCCTGGTTAATGTCATCCTGCTCTAGTGCTGGCAAAAGTTCCCAGGAAGTTGAGGTTGTTTCAGAATGCTCTCAGGTCTGCTGGGGTGATGGTATAGATTGTGAAGCGCATAGAGCTTGCTGTTGAGCGGATGAGCGGAGTTTTGCGCTATGCAAATAGTATCTATTATTATTATATTAATAATAATAATAATAATAACTGACATTTATATAGCGCTCAACCCCGATTAAAGTACACGGGCTCTGAGCGCTTTACAATACAGTACAACGTACAACAGCAACGCAAAACGTTGTGTTCTGACTAAAGAAAATTATTCCAAATATCCATCTTATTAATTAAAAAACGGAAACGAATCCATGATAGTGGCGTATACTCACCGTGTAAACTACAACACACCCGCATCCATTTCTGAGGACATTTTACGTTGATATGCTATGGCTGGTGGTGGTGGTGGTGGTTGCTGCCTGACTGTCTTGACATGCATGCAGGCGCTGCTGCGTGGAAGGTCCTGAGGGGTGGGGTTTAGGAGCAGTGTGGGTTCTGTCCAACCTAATGAAATTTTTTGTAGAATAAAGAAGAAGGATTTCCACCGCTGCACCCGACATTTTTTTTAAAATGTGAGAATTAAATAAACGTATCAAAATTTCTATAAATAATTTGGTTAAAAACAGACAAATTATGGTTTATTCATGAAATAAAGTAATCTGGCTTTACATATATATATATATATATATATATATATATATATATATATATATATATATATATATATATATATAAATATATATATATATGCGGTATTTAATATGTAGTATGGAACCAGTCAGTAGTTTTTGCTAGAAAACATTGTGGTCTTTTTTGTAGTCTGGCTAGGTAAGAAAAAACTATTACCACCTTTGTGTGAAGTAGAGACTTGAGCTGGCCATAGATAGCAAACTCTATTTTTGTCAAATTAGAGGCAAGTCCATAGAAAAGATGAATAAAACAAGAATATTTTTAAATTTTATACATTGGAATAAAAAGTCAAACCATCTCTTGAAAGCGTAAGCCGAGACCTCTTAGTTAGGATAAAAGATGAAGTGTTCATGATTTTTTCCAATTGTTTTTTGTTTTTTTTTTGCGGGGGGGCAGGTCTTTCCATGCTATTCCAGCTGTACTTCCATTATAACCAAAGTAATGCATTTACCTTTTCTTTGTGGGATTTGTGGGAAAGGAGTTTTGTCTTGTTAGTGGGCTCAGTTAACTCATGTTCCATTTTAACAATACTTTCGCCATGTGCCCACCCAACATATTGATTCATTCAGTCTCCTGTGACCCAGAAACTTGTGTTTTTTTACTCGGTACAAAGTTACTCAAGAAATTTTTTTTTTTTATTCACTCGTTGTCTCAAACCATTATTGTGGAACTGTGTGGAGCCTTCATTTCCTTTGTAATGTGTACGTTTCATTGACTCACTTGAATTAATATCTCATATTGTTTCGATATTTGTACAATAACTTTCTTTTTTCCTCCCCGTGGTGGTTCACATATTATAATATTCACATTTCCTTTAATAATTCATATAACATATTTCAATTTATTAATTGATTGTTTATTTTGATGATAATTTCTCGTTTCTTTTCGTGTTAAGTCTGTAAATCGTCAACATTTTGGTGCTACTCTGTTTCTAGGGAAGGGAGAAGTATCTGTATATATACATGTATATGTATCAAAGAAAATATAAAGTTTGTGCCATATTCATACATGCCAGAGGCTCATCATTCTTGTGAATTGCATCTCTTATTGATTGTTGATTTGGCGTGCCTGGGCATGTTTCAGGAGAAAAGAGAGAGGCTGAAGGAACGATTACTAGATCATTTGAAGGTACACCTCACAGATGGGTTCAAGTATCACTCTACTTCTCTCTTTTTATTCTTTCTGTTTTTGCTTATTGCTTGTTTTTTTTTTTGTTTTTTTTTTCCCCCGTATTCTTTATTGTGTGGATATGGTTTTGCTTCTGCGTAAATTGATGATAGTGTCTTCTCTTCTTTTGAAAGCTTTTCGCTTGATTATTTTTTCTTTATAGAGTCATATGGGGGAGGGAGGGGTGGGGGGTTGAGGAAGAATGAAGGAAAGAAAGGTACACCAGTAAATTGAAAGTGTACAAAAGCACAAATACAATTTTTTTCTTTTTTTCTTTTTTTTTATGATGATGATGCCTCTGATAAAATCTTTCATGACTGTCTCTCCACCCCATCCTTTGCCTTCTGAAAGCAGTCTTTCGCTGATGTTGTTTGTTTCCTGTGGTCTCGTCAGTGTCGACTCATTAATTAAATTTGTTAGTCTCACACATTTGATAAGCTTGCTCTTAACTTGAATTAATCTCTCTTAAAAAACCCTCTACTTATAAATAATACTCTTCCGTGTTTTGAGAAAATTCGGGAATAGCTGGGAATTCGGTCCAATGTTTTAATTTTAAGACCATTGACTGTTGCATATGTTGGATTAATTTTCCCTCCGTTATGTTTTTAGCACATCTATAGCGATCGGTCCAGAAGGTTGCAAGGCCTTTTGTGCCATGTTCTTTGAAAGATAGGTTCTTAATCTTAAATAGCACAGCTTTTTATTTACGTCACTGAAGGAAAGACAAACTCTCAGCTCTTGTTAAATTCTTTGGTGTTGGTGTCTGTTTGCTTACGTAAGTCGTGTTGAAGATAAAATTTTACCCTCCCCGAGGCGGTGCTACTGACTGTCTTTAGGCCATTCCCAAAGGGGGGACATTAACATATCGAGTTCTTATGCACAGTAGAATTGTAATTGTAAATGGGCTGATTCATCAATGTCATGCTATAACTGTGCCTGATCTACAACAGGGGACTGCAGCTTTTTCTTGCCTAATCCTTACTATTCTCATTTTCCTCTACTTCTTTTTGTATGTTTGTCACACTCTTGGGACCTGCTATTTCCGGGGTGCCTTGATAGTCGAAGCAGACCTTGTGGTGTTGAAGCTAAAGAGATGAGCAGAGTAAGTCCGATTCCCTGAAAGGACTTCTCTGTTGACACCCACCCCTTGACGCTCATATGACCTTATGCAGTTGCGAGCGCCTTAAAACCCTCTACTAATTAATAATACTCTTCCGTGTTTTGAGAAAATTCGGGAATAGCTGGGAATTCGGTCCAGTGTTTTAATTTTAAGACCTTTTCCTTGTGATTCACTAGGTAGTTTTGTTGGACAGTTCAGTTTAAAATGAATGTGTGAAGCACATAATATTATTAAGCTCTTAAACCCTCAGGAAAAAGATGCTGTTACCCCCTCTGAAAAAAGAGATTTTGAGAATAAAGTTAGGGATAAGTCCTTGAACCTTTCGCTTTGCCGATCTTCAGGCTGTTGACGAAGGGTACAGTACCTTTGTTTTTCTGATTGTAACTGCTTTGTTAACATTTTCCTTTCAATTTACTTCTTTTGAGGAGGGTGGGAGAAGAATTTGTAAAATTTTCCTATCAATGTTTATATATTTGTGTTCAGTAGGTTGAAACGTGTGGGCAGTTTTAATTGTAGGGATGATCGTTTGTGGCTGTGGAAGAGGAGGCATCTTCTGGGTCCTGTGTGCCTCGTTATCATCATCATCATCATCATCGTCATCATCATCATCATCATCACCACCACCAATGATTTTCATGCTCAAATGTTTTATTGTGCTATTTCTTTTCTCGTTTTCACCAGTCCAGTTATCTACAAGTGTACCTCTTTTCTGTTAACAGTTCCCCTTTCTTCCTAATGTAACATAAGTAACCATTCTTCTCCATTGTTTCTATGATGTGGTTTTGCAAGGTACCAATGTTGAAACTTCTCCTAATATACTAAAATAACAAATCCCCCCCCCCCCCCCCGGCAATATTACTTTGTAGCACCTGTAATTATAAGAAATATTATTAAGCGTACTTATAATTAAGGTAGTCACCCCATTGTTTGTTCCCAGTTTTAATTGCTCTTTCCTTTGTTCCTTTTTCCTCTTCTACTACTTCTAGAGGGATTACATTGTTTTCTTCTCTTTATGTTTTCATTTCCAGGAGAAAAAAGTCGACCTGAAGGACAGCTTGATCGGTGACCTGAAGGAGAAGCGGAGCGTTATAGAACTGGAGCGACAGACAATTGATTTGAACGGCGGTGGGTTAGCTTTGACTTTATACGGGGTGCCCACTACGGATGGCTGGATCGGGCCGATCGCCCGACTTGATCGCCTGAAACTGAAAACAAACACGTTTGTTTTTGAGGCGATAGAGTCGGGCGATCGGGCCGATCGGCCGATCCCATTCGTAGTGGGCACTCCGTATTAGTTAGATTTTACTTTCCCTCGCAGTTGTGTGTGTGTGTGTGTGTGTGATTTAAGGGGCAACAGAGTTGGTATAAAATCTCTATTGCGTCTATCTACGACCCTTAGGAATGGATTTCCGTGTGGGTGGTTGGTGGGGGCTCTGGTGTGGTTTGCTCCTTTCCTATCAAACATTTGTCATCCTGATCGCTCCTCCTTTTTTGTATTTGCTACTCTCTTGTAACGCAATCTTTGGTACTTATATGACCTTATGCAGTTGCGAGCGCCGTAAAACCTCTACTAAAAATAATGTTATTTTTCAACAACTGCCAAATTTTAAAAATTCAGCTCTTGAATATGTTTCTGGTCTAGTTTGTTAAACTATTGTATAAGTGTTGTTGGTTTGGTTTGGTTTTTTTTTAAGTGTTTCTTTTCTGTGGGGGTGAAAAAGTTGTTTATTGTTTGGTTCCAGCTGACTTCATGGAGGTGAAGCCGACCATGACGAGGAAGCTGAGAAGACGACCCAATGACCCCGTTCCCATTCCAGAAAAGCGACGAAAACCTTCTCCTGGTATCCTTTACTATTTTCAACATTTTATCCGGAAACCCCATCTGTGTCGAGATTGGATGGATTTTGATGAAATCAATGCTGCTGTTTCTTTCGGGTTTTCAGTTTTTTAGAATTTTAAAAAAAAGTTTTGGAAGTTTAGCATCCAACTAGACACAGACGTCATTTTGACGGTGAAACTCCATTGTTCAGTAGGAATAGGTTTTTCTTACTTCATTGTACATGTGTGACTGTTACATCTTGAAGCATGTTCTGACTGTTCATCAATATTTTTTGCTCTGAATTTGTATTAAGTGCTTCATCTAAAGCGCTTAACGTTACTGTTAGCTGGTTTCTCTTTAAAAAAAAAAAAAGTTCAATCCTTGACGGAAAGCAGCCCAGATCAATCTGTTGCTGGACGACGACCAGATCCTGGCCGACCTCCGCGTGATGATGAAGGTCAGCGGCAAACCCGTGGCCAAGAAACAGATGCTGTCCAACCAGAACTCCCTGCTGGACACCAGCTCCGACGTGAGGATTGAGGACGGCAGGTTGTGGTATGACAAAAAATGGTGAGTGTTGCCTTGGAAGATGCCAGAATTTTCGTAACATCCATTTTGTCGAAAACTGGTTCTGAATTTTTTGTTTGTTGTAGTTGATCATGAATTTTAGCCTGACTTATGTCCCGATAGTCATAGGCTGGATGGAAATATTTTTCCAGTTTGTTTGCAGTTTGTCAAAAAATATCGGATCTTTGTATCTTGTATATCACAACGTGGTGGAATCCAGCGCTCTTCAATTTTTGGACATGTGAAGTTAGTGGTATCATTTTAAAGCTTGTTCACGAGTCTTGCTTTCTGTGAAAATACACTCTTCTATCGTGCATAGAAGTGGAGATATTTGCGATAGAAGGAGGTGGGGGGGCCACCTTGTTTTAGAGGTAAAATTCACGGTAAAATGGCCGCCAAATTGTATCGGCTTGCGAAGCTTGAGAATTGTTAAAAACTGCAAATTTAATGTTTTTGTGCCTTAAATCAGCATTTTTCAGTAAAATACATGCAGAAATAGAAGGTGTTTACCGGTAGGTCATTCTTTTCTTTCTCTCTACTGTTTCTTGTGTGTCTGTCTTACTTTTTTCCTGAACTACATTTCTCCCCCCGGGGCGGTGCCACTGACTGTAGTGTCTTTAAGCCATTCCCGAAGGGGGGACATCTCTCGTTCAAGCTTAGTAGAATTGTAAATGGGCTGACTCATGTCACGCTCATAACTGTGCCTGATCTACAAGAGGGAACTGCTTCTTTTTCTTTCCTTATCCTTTCTATTGTCATTTTCCTCTACTTCTTTTGTATGTTTGTCACTCTCTTGTGACCTGCTATTTTGGGGTGCCTTGATAGTGGAAGCAGACCTTGTGCTGTTGAAGCTAGAGAGGTGAGCAGTCCAAGTCTGATTCCCTGTAAAGACTTCTCTGTTGACACCCACCCCTTGGCGCTCATATGACCTTATGCAGTTGCGAGCGTCGCAAAACCCTCTACTATAAAGAATAAAAGGAACTACATTTGTGTTATTGAGCCAGTACAGTTCTGTTTACTCAAAGTGGGAAACAATAAATGGCTCAGTGGAGTGGCTTGTAATGTCTTGTCTCGGTTAAGCTCTCACACTTGGTGTCATAATCTCAATGGTGGGTGTTTGGCAGGTGCTCTGGTGTGGTTTGCTTCATCTTTCCTATGAAACATCTATCGTCCTTATCTCCCCGTCTTCTTTTTTATGTTTGTTACTCTCTTGTAACGCCTCTAATCTTCTGGCGCTCATGTGACCTTATGCAGTTGTGGGAGCCGTAAAACCTCTACTAAAACTAAACGTAAAATCCCAAATGCAAGTACTCATCATCATCTCCCGATACTTTTCAGGTTTCAGCGAAACAGCATGGTTCAGCTGGACAACAAAGAGGGAGGTCCAAGGATCTATGGCACGATCACCAATATAGGGAACCAAGAGGTATGCTCCTGTCCACGGGCATTAGGGAAAAAAATGTATCTTATGTGTGTGACCTTTCCAACACCCCTCTCTGCTTTTTTTGTTTGTTTTTGTTTTGTGAAGGACAGGTGGGGGAAGCAACTGTTGAGTCTTTCTTTTTGACTACTCCTCTTTTGCTTCTGTCCATTCGTCTTGCCTTTTTCCTAACCTTGAATGACTGTTTTTGGGTAGATGTGCCCAATACTCAAACTTAACATAGCTGCCACTTTCCCGCTAACGGAAACTCCGCTTCATCTAGCTTTTCCCGCTACGTTCCTCCTTCCTCCAATGGACCGCTCCCGGTCGCAGATTGCGATACTTTTTTTTTTACACACGGAAAACACCGAACCGGGAGAGAGACGAAAACGCGGCTTGCGGATGTCTGCCCGTAGCTTTCTACCTCCGTTCTTCTGTGCCTAGCGCTAATTTCACATTGTTTATTGTAGAGCAACACAGTGTCGATCGGGCATCGGGACGTTGGCCCGCCGAGTTCTCATTGATAACGGCGGGAAATTCAAGAGAAATTGATGCAGAATGCAAAAATAAAAGGAGCTGGAATGAGAAAGAAGCAGAGTGTGTGCGACTTGAAAAGTTCATTAGAAAATACAACTAGCCGCTTGCTAGATCTAGATAAATAGATTAAGAGTATGATGTCTGATTCCCTGTAAAGACATTCTCTGTTGACATCTACCCCTTGGCGCTCATATGACCTCATGCAGTTGCGAGCACCTTAAAACCTCTACTAAAACAAAAAGTCTGCTTCGACTATTGAGGCATCTAGGAAATAGCGGGTCACAAGAGTGAAACAAAGGAAGTAGAGGAAAATGATGATAGTAAGGATTAGGAAAGAAGAAGCAGCAGTTCCCTGTTGCAGTTCAGGCGCAGTTATGGGCATGAGATTAATGAATCGGCCCATTTACGATCCTACTGTGCTTAAGAACATGTTAATGTCCCCCGTTTGGGAATGGCCTAAAGACACTTCAGTCGGTAGCACCACCCTGGGGGGTGACGTACACTTTAGTTTTTCGGTTCATAGTGTATTTTGTTAATTCTTATCGTATTTGTGCTTATTTTCAAAAATGGCATTGCTAGTCATTTTCTTTTCTGTTTGAATATTGTAAAGAATGTCTCATTTTCTGTATGAAGTATGAGGCAAAAGTCTCTCCCTTTCATTTCCTTGATTCTGATGTTGCATTTGAAAACAAAAACATTTGTGTGTTTTTATCTGATTTCAGATTTGGATCAAGCGAAGCGGAGACAACTCAAAGCTCAGAATTTACATTTCCCAGTTCCAGAAAGGCAAATACGTGATGAAGAAGAGAGCAACGTAGTAGTAACTGCTTCGCTCTTGTTTCTGTGTATTTATGTAAATTGACGTACATCATCACTGACCTTCCAGTAGCTCCCGTGAGAAACCCATGCCTGCTCTGAAGATCATTGGTCACTTTATGTAGTTCTCATTGCAAAATGAGCCGATGGTCAACGTTCGTCGCTCAAAGTACGAGGTGGATTATTTGTGTCAGTCTCGGTGAAAGTGATGTGGTCATGAAGCAGACGATTATGGTGGAATGGATATTATCTTCAACGGCACCTGTTTCATGTCGGGATGAATGAATTCCTCGCAAAGAGCAACTCCTTTGGTGGTGAAATTTCATGACACTGACATGTCAGGTCAAATTACTACCGGAGTGCTTCTCTTTGGATCAGGCGTGGTGCTCGCTCCTTCCCGCCGCGGCGGGCTCTGTTTGACGTGGGACGTAGTGTTTGAGGGCTTTGCGGCACCAATGATAGTACATAACAAGATGGGTCACTTCTCTCTTTGAGCCAATTAAAAAAGTGTCCTCA